TTTTTTTTTTTTTTTTTTTTTTTCTCCCAACAAGACAACCCGATCGGGTGCTAGGTGTGCTGATAAGAGCCGACACATCTAGCACCGTCGGGGATTGTCTTCTCTTTCTTTTTGGTTGTTACACTGTGAACTGGAGCTTTTTTTGATTTTTTTGCAGACAAGAATGTTTTGATATCCTGGTTGGTCTTGTCCCGTCGTTTGGCCTGTGGTGCCGGGGCGGTGCTTGCATGAGGGACTTGTCATCTGGGATTGGTTTTGTTGCCCCCTGTTCTGTTTTATTTGGCTGTTCCCTTCCTCTTTTCTTTGCCTCTTTGCCTTTTGGCTGTGTGCAAGTGGGTCGATATGACACACGGGGGTGGGGGCAGCCGCCGCTCAACCTAGATCCACGGTGGCGGCCTTGTACGCAAGAGGTTCTGAACAGGGGGAGTTGTAAGGAAGAAGATAAAAAGTGAATTGATATCTTTTTTGTTTTCCTGTTTTTTGCTTTTGCGCTCTGCCTCCTGATGAGTCGGTGAAACTCCGACGAAACAGTTACAGCCCCTCGTTTGTTGTCCTCTTCCCCCTCTCTGCCTACGGTTTACCGGGCAGTTCTATTTGACGATATATATATATTCTGTTTGTGACGATATATATATATGTCTGTTTGTGACGATATATATGTACATGTATAACGATATATAATACATATAATATATATAATATATATAAATATACATATATATTTTACACTGGGTCTGCGCGAAACCTTGCCCGAGGTCATGCTCGGGCACCCAGGAAATCCCCCTAGATAAATAATAAATCGATATTGATTATGGATTTTGTCGGAATTGCAATTTCTTTGTGTTTGATGAACTTGACCCGATTCTCAGGCCTTGTACTGAGAGATGATCCATCTGGCAACATCTGGGTGGATGAGGTTGTTCCAGATGGGAATGCAGCCAGAACTGGCCTAGTTGATGTTGGCGATCAGCTCATAGCCACGTCTGCAGGTATGGTTTCACAAGACAAGAAAATGGCTCCTCCCTTTGTGCAATTCCTGTTTTGCAAATTACTTGTGAGGAAAAGAACAATGGAAATGAGCTGGACCAGGTGCAGTCTGTTTTCTCCCTCATCATCTGATCAGGGTTCTTATAAAATCCCCTCTTTTTTATGTTTGTATTCCCCCCCCCCCTAGTTATTATCTTCTTAAGCCGTAAGTTCAGACGTCGAGTGTAAGATGTCAGATCTACCTTGCAAGGCTCACGAGCCCCTGACTGTATTTTTTCGCAGTGGCTTTCCACATTCACCACCGGGCGAACTGGTGTTTCAAAAGGGGTTCGTATGATTATTGCTATTACTAGGCTCCCATCGCGTCCAAGATCGAGCCTTGCAAGACCTCAGCTGATGTACATTATACGGCTACGGAAGTATGTCTTTGTAAATTAAATAACCTGTAGAACTGCAAGAGTCTTGACTCTGAATCCTGTGCTGTTCTGAGTTTTTGTCGCCGACCACTGCCACATTTGTTTGGCCATTGGGCATGCTAGCAGGCAGCTCCAGGTCTGCCCGACTGCGTTGTGTATTGTCTCCGCAGTGTGTGCAGATGGGGGATAGTACTCCAGCTTGTTCCAGGAAGGAGCGAGAGGTTACCCATTCCGGAGTTGGGAGGCAGCGGTGAAGGATTTGCCACTGCAGGGCCCTGTGTGATGTGGGCATGATGTGTGCGTATGTTTCCCAGGGGATGCGGCTCAGGACAGAGTCATTCACCGGGGAGTCTCTTTTCCACCGATTCTGCACTATTGGTGTAGAGGTCTTGAGGGGATGAGCTTGCTTGTACCCATCTTTTACTGTGTATTGCCAAACCGGGACGGGCTTGGGGCCGCTCCATTCCCGGGGAGGGCACAGACTGGGGAGGTCATTTCGTAGGCGAAGTAGCCCGTGTCGTCTGATCCCACCACACTATTTCTCATGAGTTCTTCCATTGGCTTCATGCAGTTGTGGTCTGGGTCTTTTTTAAGTGTTGCCCACCTTGCCCCTGGCACATCTGGTTGGAAGGCTTGCAGTTGTGCTTTGTCGTCGATTATATGGCTTATTCTATAGATTGACATAGGGATGGGGTTGTGGCTGTTGTGCGTGACCCAGTCAAGGCTACGGCAGATCGGTCYGTCTTGAAGGGTGGCAACCCATTGAGGCGGCACTGCTGTTTGTAGTTTTTGTAGTTTAAGCATGCCATGCTTGATGTTCTTGAGGTTGTGCCTTAGCTGTTGATGGGACTTCCATGCTCCCCGTTGGCTGTCTGTGGCATACTGCGTAGCCACACGGGCCCTGCAGGGCCTGACCCGGACATTCAGCCTAAAAGCCTAAAACTTAGGGCTTACAGGCCCCGTTCGTTTCAGCCTGGATGCTGAAAAACGAGGGCCTGCAGGCCCTACCTCGTTTCAGCCCTTTTCTGGGTCTTTTCAGACCCAGAGTTTTCAGCCTGAAACGGAGGGCCATTTTCAGGCCCTCATTGTTTCGACCTGCCCCTAAGACTCAGGCACGGAAACAGGGATGCGGAACAGGCCCAAAATAGCCTGTTCCTCACGTGCTCGAGCAGGAGCTGCAGCTGCAGCCCCTGCCTCCCTTCGGCAGGCTCAAGAGGCACACCCGTAGTACATAGGAGGTTCCCATGCACTTCACGGGTAGGTAGTGTCAGTAGGCAGTGGTAGTCTTCAGGATTTCGGCCGCAGCACTCAAGGAGGAGCGCTGCAGTAGTCTTCAGCGCTAGGCAATAGGTATTAGCGCTAGCTGTAGTCTTCGGCGCTGGGCGCCATAGCTGTAGCTGTAGTCTTCAGCGCTGGGCGCTGGTAGGTGGTAGATCGTAGAGTGGGAGAGAGACTGGCGGAGGCCAGTGTTACTTACCTGTGGCGCCATCGCTCCAGCTCCATCTTCGTGGTACCTGCATCAAGGCGCCAACTTCACAGGTTAGTACTGGACACAGAGAGAGAGAGAGAGTTCTTCTT